ATATATGCTGTTTTATGTTTTGCCTCCCTATAAGGGCATAGTTGTCTTTGTACTGTTCTATTATTTTAGTATAAATAATAAGTGAAGGGGGCGGCTAGATCACAACTCTCTTTTCTTTCCAACTTCTCTTCTCCTTCTCTCTTCCTTCTCTCTTCAAGAAACTACTTTTCTTTTATATTTTTTAATTCAGCAGATTTCTACTCTTTATATGATAAGTTCAAGATGGAAAGTGGAAAAGAAAATTAACAAAGATGGAGCTGTTTTATTTATGTAAGAAAGAGTGAATAGAAATAAAAAAGAGAAAAAGAAACCATTTTGTACTTCTATTTTTTCTTTTTCTCAAAACCCTTAAATGTTTTAAATTTCAATAGTAAAATTTCAAAACAATGCTTAAATGGTATGCATATGGTATATAATAGAATATATTAACACATACTAGTAAGACATAGAAATATGGATGATATTATAATAAAGCTCTTGCCTTGTCATTTTTGTCGCCTAGGTGGGCACCTTGTTGCTATAAGTTAAGGTGTTTAGGCGAGGCACCCAGCCAAGGGTGCCTAGTCGCCTAAGCGACACCTTGACAACTATGGTCACCTTGTTGTACTTTCTTTTTCTTTAATAGAATTTTTTCTTTTTATTTATTACCAAAAAAAAAGACTCCTGATATCCTACTATACTATTTTTTTGCAAGATGCTCTGCCACACAGTTACCCACGTATCCTCCTCTTAAATTATGGTTCCTTTCAGAATCTGTTCCACCTGATTCCTAGTAATTGCTTTATTGAATGACTTCACTCTGTTTCCTGTCAAAAAAACATTCTTTCCACTATTCGTTTACTTTGACGTCTGACATCTGAAAGTGCAATAATTACATTAAGAGGTTATTGGTATTGATGAACTTTTCTTTCCTCTGAACTCTGAATGCAGAGAATTTTGTTCCGAATTCTGAAGATTGTCAAATATCCATTTTAACCTCATATATGAGAATTTTTGTTTGAACTTTGGAGGTATCATTGGAAAACAAAAAGTTGTAAGATTCCTCTTTAAGAGATAAGAGGAAATGAACACCCATTTTCCTCTTAAAGTTGTAAGATTCCTCTTAAGAGATAAGAGTTAAGAGGAAATTAACAGGCCCTAAGTTATTGATTAGGCAAGATTTTGCATCTTCCAACATTCTAAGTAAATTCATGCACTCATCTAGTTCTCTGTCCAGTAAATATCTTCAGAAAACTTGGCTCCATACAATCTGGTCTCCTCTAATTTCAAAGCACTCATTCACCATGATGTCCTTACTACTGAATCTGTAGAGTATTTGATAGTGCTCACAAAGTTTGCCAATCCCACACCAGTCATACTCCCAATAGTATTGGACCACTGGGGAAAAGAATTAAATTCTATATTATTTTGAAGATGACTGAATTAATATTCATAAAGGTGTAAGCATGTAAAAATATGCCCCATATACATGACAAACCTTTAGGAAGAGGTTCTCTGTTTATAGTGAGAGCTTTGTGCCTAGTTAGATTTTTATCATGGGCTGAGGATGTTCTTTGTACTAAATTTATACATCACTTTATATCCTTTCATGTACACCTTTTTTTTATACAGACATGTACAATTTGGTTACCTTCAACATGAAACATAAAATGAAATCAACTTCATTCTGCACTGTAGTTTTTGATTAGTTGATTGCCGATGCATTTTCATTTGTTACACCTTATTTTTGCTCATTTAGGTGTTAGCACAAGCATCCTTAATGGTTCTTTATCATTTACATGCTTTTTGTGAAGGCTTTCCATGCATATCTTTTTTTTTTCTGTTACATTCAACTGTTTAATGTGTTGATGACATGCGTCTTATAATTGTAACCAATACCAATATTTTAATTTTGGATGGGCTCAAGGATATGATGAGGATCAATATATTTTTCTTTATTTGTACATTTGCTTTGTTAGGACACTGATGCTTGTAAATTGGATGTAGTGTACAGGCTTTATTACCTTTTCTCTTGTTAATAAGTTACTTAATCGCCTATTGGTGCATGCTTCCATATTTGTGCTAATTCCTGAGGGGCATTATATAAACATTTGAGTGATAGATATCTTTTTTTATTGTTCCACAGGAATTGAATCAATTGATGTCACACGAATACTGTCTCAGCAGGGTGGGGAGGCAGTTTATCCCTTGCCACGAATCAAATCTTTAGTAGTTCACTCAAAACTAAATTTAGCAGCATTGCTGTTTTCAGTTAAGTTTGCAGTTATATGCATTATTTGTTCAGATATGATTAGACAATGATTTCTAAAGAATAATAATGGTTGTATTTTAACAGAATGTGACAGGTGGAGACCACTTGAAAAATAGGGCTGCTTACACTAGGGAAGGAAGGAAACAGCTCTTTGCTGTTCTGCAAAGTGCAAGGGGATCATCAGGTGACTGTTCATTGACATCTAGATGAATTTAGATATTGTTTGTACAGCGACTTGTAAAAGTAACATGTATTTTTTGGACCAGGGGCTATTTTTTTATATATTGGTGTGGTGTTATGTATAAAAATCCTACCTTGTACTGTTACATGCTTGTTCAATGTCTATGCATTTATTTTTTACATGTTGTGTTATGTATAAAAATCCTACCTTTGCTATTTTGGTTAATTTGGGAAAGTGTATTGAAAAAAAGTGTTGAGTTGGGCCTAGTTGTTTTTTATTCTTATTTTAAGTTATTTAGTTAGGAAGTTGTTGGGCTTTAGGCCCATTAGTTTATGTTTTTAAGTTGTGACTGTTCAGCTACATTAGTGGCTGCCCTACTAAGGGCATCCTTGTAATATCTCATCCTTTAAGTTAAGTATAAATATAATGAGGGGTTGGCGGCTAGGGTTAATTCAAGAATCCTGGTTGATTTCCTACTCTTTTCTCCCTCTCTTTTTTTTCTCTACTACTGAAATCTTTATCTTCCTCCCTTTTCCTTTCACAAGAAATTCAACTAAATCTACAATCAGTGATTTCTACAAAAAGGAAAGAAAAAGATAGAGCTAGGATTGTTTTCCAGAGAGCCTATTGTCACTGTTTTCATTCTGGACATAAGGCCTGTCTAGGAAAAGAAAAATGGTCTGGAATTGCATTCCAGCTGCAGTGATCTGGAACATTTGGAAGTGAAGGAACTCCTGGATTTTCCAAAAACAGTTCTGCAATGAAGAGGAATTACTATCAAGAATAGTAGGAACCATAATATTCTGGAGTCTGTCTCATAAGGAATATTATGGAACATCACATTCCTTGGTTTTAGATTCAGAAAACTTGTATACAGGTCAATACAGATAGGATCAGAGGAATACCTGTGCATTTCATTATACTCAATCTTTTATACATGTTTTTGTTAATAGTCAATGAACATACTTTACCTTTTTCAAAAAAAAAAAAGAGATAGGACTAGGATTTGGGGTTAGATCTTGTGAGTGTTTGTCCAAACAAGCACATACCATTCTATGTGCAATAGGATTGTTATAACTCTTGATGGCCTAACCATAGCCATCCAACACTGAATTTGCTATTTGTACATTGTTGTGGCATGTTCCCCTGTAATAGCTGTGCCTGTTCACTCATTGTTTGGTCATTAGAGTCTACCAAACTATTGGCTGATCTTTGCATCCAATTAACTGTTGCATCCAACTTTCCACTCAGGTACTTAATTTCCTTAATGATATGTCAGTATTGCTAAGAGGCATKGTAACCATTCCTCAACCAGCCTACTATGACCTTAGAATCTCCTTTAACCACTAGATTTCTGAAATCAAATAGTTTGCTCAACCTCAACCTTTGCAATATAGCTAGTGGTTTGGCTCTTGTGGAATCCTCAACACCAATTAGAAGATATCTATTATCATTTCATAGCTATTCTAAAAGATTCCTATACCTGAATTGTCCATATTTCCCATGCTGCAACCATAAAAAATTTAGTTTATCTGATTGGGAGCTAGGAGTTGCCAATCCACGGGGATAGGGGTGAGCATTCGGTTTATTCGGTCCGAACTAAAAAAATTTAAACCGAACCGAAACTGAATTATAGAAAAACCAAAATAAACAAAATTAAAATTTTTTATTATTTCGGTTAAAACCAAATTTTAATAATAGATACTTTATTATATATATTATAACACATGTTATATATTATGAAATCAAATTTTATTATCTCATATATTAATATATAATATTAATATATTATATATTATATGTTACATATTATATAATATATACTACATATAATAATAGAAAGTTCGGTTAACCAAATTTCTAATTCTAAAAACCGAAACCGAATTAACCGAACTGATTTAACCAAAAACCGAAAAGACCGAACCGAAAAAACTGAAACTGAAATTTTCGGTTTTAACCAAATAGTGCTCACCCCTACACGGGGAAGATGTTCTTCTTGATGAGGAAAATGCCACATGTTGCTATGCTTTAGTAAATGTTATCTGTATAAATGGGGGCGAAGATACATAGAGTTTTGATACAATGCATCACTCTTGCGAAGACGAGTTCAATTAGAGCCTCTTTAGCTTGTGACTTTTCATTGAAAATTCTTGCATTTCTTTCTTCATATACTGATCGCAAAATTGCTAAGCTAGTGCATCCTCACATTATCTTCCCTTGTTTTTTGGGCAAGGTGAAAAACAAAGTGGATGAAGAGCTGCTGATCCTTGTAATCTGGGGCAAATTTGTATTCTGATGCATTCTGGGCTACAGAGTAGCTAAAACACTTGTAATCTGTTTTCAGTTTAACAAATGAAGTTACTTTGCTGATTAAAAAAAGCAGATGAAGAGGCTTTTCATACCTCCTGAAGGGGGTCCACCTACAACCAAAGAGAGAAGGGAACTAATCCCAAATACTATAGACAAAGAGCAAGAGATTAGTAGATGGAAGGTGGATTAGACACTTGTGGGGTGACAAACACCATTTGGGTCTTTTTCTTTGAGAGGTCTTGCAAGTTTGATTGGGTGGTATAGCTCTCAACAGAATACCCTTATTTTTTGTATGACTGTCTTGTTCCAAATAGATTACCAGGAAGGTTTGCAAAGGTAAGAGATGGATTTGAAGAAAGATGTAAAAGAAAACAATCTTGAGGTGTTGAAGATCCAAATGTTGGTATGAGGTTTGGAGTTATAAAGGAACACACTTTCCATGGAATTGAGCAACTCCACAGCTTGAGAGGTTTCAAAATCCCTTAAGACTCACCCGAGTTCCAGAAAATCCCCAAATTAGGATGAGAAGTGAAAAGAGAGGCAGGTTCATGTTAATATGTAGAAATGGAGTAGATAAGAGGGAAAAAAAATCTTTCAAAGGTTTTTCTCCCGACTCTCCCTACCAAATATCTTCCCAAAACTTAGTTTTCTTTCCTAGATAACTGTCATACTGGACTTGTTGCAAAGAGAGTGGGCAAAGATGTTAAATGGCTTTCCAAAGAGAGGTCAAAATTGCTCTAGTAGCCACCTCTATATTCCATCTGTTAGAATCTAAGCTATTACATTATGTCAAAGCCTTTTGGTATCCAGGGAGAATCTCCAATGCCACTTAATAATGCAGAATTTCCTCTCAAACAATCTTCCTGGCCCAAGCCCACTCTCCTTTTTGCTTTTACTGACTATGGCCCAACTCCCTCCCCTGGCTTGCACAAAAAAATCTCATAATCTCTCTCTCTCTCTCTCTCTCTCTCTCTCTCTCCCTCCCTCCCTCTTTGTTGGGATAAGTAGACTTAGATGAAAACTAGGGTATAGACCATGGCTATTTTCTGGTTTTGTCAGGCAAAGGATTTTCTTAATCATCAGTCTCTAGGTAATAAGTGATAAAAATTCCTAATTTTAACCAGATGAAAGCTTTGCATAATATGTGTGTTGCAATGGATTATTAAACAAGAAGAAACCCCTGCATGAAGGCATAGGTCTTTGGCCTGCTTTTTGTCAAGACATGCTTTCACCAGTTTGGGGCGAAGGTCTTCAAGACGATTCTCTCAACCCCCAATGACACAATTGATCCTATATCCAAACAAATTCCTTCTGGTTATTTTCAGTAAATGTTTTATGACCTCATAAGGTTGGATGCTCAATACTACAAGGAAAGGCTGTGGGAGGCATTGGGGAAAAACCTTCCTATGAATAAGCAGTATGTGGCTTTTCCTGGGGAGGTAGGTGATGTATGGGTGCTTGGGTTTGTAGGTGAATTCTTTTGGCATGTAAATTCAAAGGTTATGTGATGATGCTATCTGCCTATCTCTTCTGGTCCTGTGGGTTGCTTGTTTTGGGTTCTTTGGGGGTGGTGTTCTGGTTATTCTCTAGACTGCTTGCTTTGTTTTTCTCCACCTCATCCAGCATGTATATCTCTTGTATATACTTATCCACTTTCTGCATCCTGACTAGGGTAGCAAGACAACTAAAGAAATTTACGTGGGACTTTCTATGGGAACTAGGAGAGGTAAAAAAGGGATCATTTAGTTAAATAGGAATAGGTTTTTAAGCCAAAAGAGAAAGGGCCCCTAGGTTTAGAAAACATTGTTCTTAGGTACACTGCTTTGTTAGGAAAATGGTTGTAGAGATTTCCCTTTGAAAGAGATAGGCTGTGGCACAAGGTAATTGAAATCATTCATGGTCTAGACTCTAGAGGGTAATGGCTGGGATGCTAAAATTGCTCCCAACTCATCCTCAACTTCTTGGAAAGAAATTCATGAGGTATACCCTCTGTTTCTTAATTTTATCTGTTACGATGTGGGAAGGGGGTGATAAAATCCGATTCTGGAAGGACCTTTGGATAGGGAAGTACCATTAAGAGATCAATTCTCTAAGCTTTATGCCCTTTCCAACCTTAAGGGTGAAGTTGTGTCAACAATGGGTACACCCTCTCATTCTGGTTTTAATTGGGACTTTGACCTACTTGACATTCTGGAGGCAGTTTTTTTGGACCCAAACCTTGATGATTCTAGAATCTGGACAATCTCCCCAGATGGACTGTTTTACTCTCTCCTCCCTCAAGCATCTGCCCTTACCTAGTTCTCAAGGGGTGGACTTTCCGGTGAAAGAAATTTTGGACTTTTGGAGTAATCCAATCCCACAAAAAATTCAAGCTTTCTATTGGGAAATCTTCCTTGGAAAAGTTAATACTTGTTATTTGCTGCAGAGAAGAAGGGCCTTTTCTTGCCTTACTCCTCATACGTGCTTCTCATGTAGGGATAGTGGAGTTACCCTCTCCCATCTATTAATCTCCTATTCCTTTATACTTCGTAATTGGGAGTACTTTTGTGCTCTTTTTGGCTGTAGGTGGGAGCCCCCTCAAGAGGTGGTGGACATCTTCAACCCAAATTTTTTGAAGCAACCAAAGAAAAGAGGGAGAGTAATGTGGAGAGCTACTCAGACAGCAATTACTTGGGTGGTATGGGAACAGAGGA